CCCCTTTTTTATAAAAAAAATCAATAACTCTAAAATAAAATTTTGAATCATCACCAAAAAGTATACAGATCTTTAGATTAATATAACTAAGAAGTGTGTAAAGTTTTAAGCAATAATCATAAATCGTTTTTGAGATACGGCGCGACATGTGAAAAAAAACACCCCCCTGTTTTAGTTACAAAGTCCCGTAACTCAAAAAAGTTTTAATCTTATTTTCACCAAAAGGTATACAGATCGTTTGACCATCATAAGAAACAACTATGTTAAGTTTCATGAAATTTGCATAAGTCGTTCTCAAGTTACGGTGCGACATGTGGACGCCGGACAGACCGACAGACGGACGCCGGACATTTGTATACCATAATACGTCCCGTCAAAATTTTGACGGGCGTATAAAAACTCAAACGCAAGATGAGTATGTCACATGGTAAGAAATCAACAAAGGGTTTCAAATTGTATCATTAATCTCTTAAAAGAATACCACGAAAGTATTAAATTAAACCCGAGATTACTTTAGATAAAAAACCAAACAATTGTTTATTATTAGTTTACAATGGTCTATACATCAAAATTTTCTAGTGTTATATTTTAAAAATAATTCTAAAGAAATGACAAAGTCGAAATGAGTAACATATCTTAAAGGATATATTATCATTTGACAAAAATAAATATTGTAGAATGATAAGCTACACTCACTACCGCACTTTTTTTTCTGCTTTGTCATGTGTATAAAGATATTTTTGCGTCATGAATGACTTCTTTTCCGTACCTGGGATGAGATAGTACAGCTCCATTAGATTAAACACTTAAGCTACATTTAAATACTTTAAATATCATAACGTATACATTAAAGTTGATGTAAAAATTTATATATGGCCTAAAATTACTAAAATATATATGATGGGATAATTGATACATTGATGTTGTTATAACTGTTCTGAATTTCCCTTCTAAAATAATTTAATGAATTGACTTTCTATTGTAACATGCTATTATATATTTGAACTTATATGCAGTGAAACAAGAAAACAAAACGATGAAGCATAATTTGTGTCCAAAAATATACAAAATTTTAAGACTAAACCATGTTTAGGTGTATTGGCTGCTATTGCAAGGTATTGACTTATTAGTATTATTAGGAGCCTGTAATTCAGCGTTTGTCGGTTGTTGCTGTATATCATATTTGTTTTTCGTTCATTATTTTGTACATTAATCAGGTCGTTAGTTTTCTCGTTTGAATTGTTTTACATTTGTCATTTCGGGGCCTTTTATAGCTGACTATGCGGTATGGGCTTAACTCACTGTTGAAGCCCGTACGATGACCTATCGTTGTTAATTTCTGTGTCATTCGGTCTCTTGCGGAGAGTTGTCTCATTGGCAATCATACCACATCTCCTTAATTTTTCATTATTATGGCCATTGATTACATCAACTGTCCGATTACAGTCTAGAAATGAACAAGCAACCTTTGTCAAGAAACATTGGACCTTCATCAAAAATAGGTAACATTTATTCATACATGTATGTGTTGCAAATCTATTAATAAGACATATATATGTTTTTTGGAAATATACTTTTGTCATCCGATAATTGTTCCTTGCACTCATATTATGAAGTGTCTGGATTGTTATACCCAACTATTATTATCACAAATAATATGAATGTAGATATTGCAATGAGGAAAATATAAATATTGTAAAATACTTTGTCCATTATCTCTGATAATTCCTTCCATGTTATATCACTGCATCCTTCCTTGTGTTCGGTATCTTTATCAGGACTATAATTGTTCTCTGTTAGGTGTGTGCCTTTTAATTTGTTTATCTGTAAGTCCGACCCATTATGATCCACTTTGTTCTTCCTATAGGAACACTTGTTTTTCCAACACGCAAATTTTATCAGGTAATTTGAAGTGAATTTCTTTAACCAGTTCGACATTCTTTCATCGTCTGTGCGCATGTGTAGATTTATCACGAATGTAGTTAAAATGACAGCAATAGTAGCAAGTAACAATATAAAAGCAAGGTACAACGCTGAAAAGTAAATAAGAATAAATAACTAGAGGCCCAGAGGAGCCCGAATCACTTATAAGATGAACATATTTTAAAACATTTTCATAAACAATTCAGCATACAAAAATACATCCTCCAAATGAAATTACCCTCCCCCCAGCAGTCATTAAATATAAATGATTTGGATATCTGAATTTCATTGTTTACTAATTTTGTTGTTAACAAATACATTTATCATAAAATTGTTTTCAAGATTAAATCCTGAAACGCTAAAATTCATGAAAATCACCATTAAAGGATTCCAGTAAGTAATCGTCTAGAGTTCGATGGTTTCAGTGGTCGGTATTTTTCAAAATATAAAAATAGGAAGATACAGTATGATGGCTAATGAGAAAGCTATACACAATAGACCAAATGACGTAGAAGTAAGCAACAATAGGTCACCGTATGTAACAGTGGTTTGATTCCGCCAGTGTACTTTATCCGGAGGAAGAAAATCACCAGTGATTTTTATCCACCAACAAAAATTCACTAGGTTTTTCTATCCGGGTCCAGTGTAAAACATCCACCAGTCATTATATGGTTTTAAAAAGAGTTTTTTTGAAGGGAAAATATATATAAAATGTGGCTTAGTAGTTTTTAGTGTATTTGAAACTTGCATATTTGATTTATGTAAAAAGTGGAGAGTTTTCATCCAAGGAATGTTCACACTAGTGTTTTTGTACCGGAATGATTGCACTAGTTATTTTATACCGGGATTAATTACACTAGTGCTTTAGATCCATACATTGATGAAGTGATTAATACTCAGTTTGAACACACGATAACACAATAATGCTTATTAACGAATAAGATTTAAATAATTTTCTATGCAAATCCATAAAATCATATGCTTTTAAATTGTCACTAATTGTAATATTCATATTTATTGGATTGACGAAGTTTTTCTGTGTATTTGCTTTTCGGTCGACTTAGATATAGAATCATATTTTTCTATGTCAATATCAAAGTATGCTTCTATAATTGAAACTTTAAGTAAGAACAAATCTGCTCTTTAAATTTGGATTATATCAAGTTCAATGTCCTGATCATTGATAAAGTAGTTTGATTTATAAAAATATCCTCCTCATCATCATCAATATTATTTACTGGATTGACTCAGGTTAATTAAACTGGTTCCTTGAAAATCATTCTATTTTAACCCATTTATTTATGTAAACAATAAACCGGTCTAATATAAACAAAACAACGATATCAAGATCGACGCTTTCACACTATTTACATCCAATATTCTCTAGGGAAAAACAGTTACCCGGAATAAATACACGGCGGAATGAAAGTACGCTTACGGCCTTCAACAATGAGCAAAACCCATTCCGCATAGCAAGCTATCAAAGGCCCCGAAGATTAGCTTGAAAAGTTTGTTTTGCTAATCATATTCGTGTTTAATGGATTCTGTTTTCAAGATAATAGGTACGATTAAGACAAAATATTAGAAAAATGACTTATTTTGTGTTTCAAACATTACAAAATGCTGAATTATTAATCGCTATTAGCTACCATTATGTTTCAATTTTGTAAAAATAAGCTTAAATATATCGCTGATATATTTTGTCTTGCAGTAGCATTAATGGAACCAATTTTACTGCACCAGATGCGTTTCGATAAGAAATCAAACAGTAAGTGGGCCTCATTTGGGTACGTATGCATGCTATTTTTAAAGAGGCATTAGTTACTATTAAGACAAAAAATTAACTTAAAGATACGATTTTTTTATGTTTCAAACATCCATATAAGCAGAATATTGAAATAATATTTCGCTATAAGCAATCAGTTTAGTTCAGTTTTGTCACAATAACGCTCACAAACATCGCTGATGTATCATTGGCTTGAACGTAAATGAATCATTTCCATTTGAATCCGTATTCATGAAACCTTTAATTGACCCATATGGGAGCTGCCATTTGATTTTTATGGGGGCTAGGATAAAAATTTTGTCCTGTAATCTCTGTCCTGCCTGCCTTTTTATTTTTCACTCTATTCAGTCCTGCCTTTTTTTTTTTAGTTTATCCTGACTTTTTTACATAAATTGTCATCCTGCCTCTTTTTTTTGCAAAGTGTCTCATCCTTCCTTTTTTTCACTCAAAACTCCTGTCCTGCCTATTTTTGTCAAATTTCATCCTAGCCCCCCCCCCCCCCCTTATAAGAATCAAATGGTAGCTCCCTAGCTGGAGATGGGTTATGCACGTGCTGAGCGTGTCAACATCGAAAAATCAAACAAGGGAGAGACAAGGCAGAACCATTTCGTTGTCTGATTCGGCACAAAAAAAAAAAAGATTTTATGCAGGTAAAACGATGATTACATATTTTTTTTAATCTATGACATAAAATCAAAGAGACCTAGAAAAATCGTCATTTTACAATTGTACGTGCTTGTCTGTCTGTTTAATATTTATGGTAATGCTTATTTATGATTCCTATTGATTATGGGGTCAATGGATCAAACAGCAGCTTTTGAAATGCTAAGTGTTAAACACACTGACCTGTTTATTCTACTAGAAAACCATAAATTTCGGAACTCGGCTTAGGCAGCCATAGTGCTTCTAATTTGTGTAGATCTCGTCTTGCTGATCTATATTGTCAGAATCATTCCGTATATGTTCAAATACTTTGTTTCGTTTTGTCATTTTTTCGGGGGTTTTTGGTAACTGTATTCACATCAACGCACTTCACTTGTGTTTAAGAATTTTGTCAATTTAATTTTGTAACGACTGTTATCTTACTAAACAAAAGAGACAGATTTTCTTTGTCAAAGTCTCGAGTACAGAAAGTATTGGGGTCGATCCCCGGCTTAGTCAAACGAAAGAATTTAAATTTGACATTTGTTTTGCTTCTCCGTCAAACACAGCATTTAGGAGTAAAGGCGTAGACTGGTCAGCTTTGAGCCAGAATCGTGTCTCTCAGTAGGTCGAGACTGAGTATGTCTTCCTAAGGTGTTGCCTCTTCAGGTAGCACGTTAAAACCCGACTTAGCATCTCGGTCTAGTAAATAGCTAAAACTCATCAAAGATTTCAGAGCATATGAACAGGTAATATCGTAGCAACAATCATAAAAACTCAATTATTTTTCTTTTGCTTAATCTCCAAAAGTAAGCAAAACTGCATAACTGATATCATTACATATACTTGGCTGTTTAAATGTAAAAAAATGTGTTAATAAAATTTTACTTCACTTGTCTTGTCACACATGTCTGTATTTTTATGTCGTGAGATATCAGTCGAGTTCAAACTTCTACTTGGTGTTCGTATCTTTAATAACATTTAAGTTATATCGGGGTAGTCTGTCATCTTGGAATGTAAAATAGCAGAAAAGAATCGGATCTAGACTAATAAAATCAGCAAATTTTGGGACAGGAAATCAATTCATTTCATTTTCTGAAAGCACACCATGAGCTATCTTCTCATATTTTAATTCAAAATTTTATTATTTAGTTTTCTTTCTATTCACACAAAAGTGGTTTTTCCACGTATAATCTTTCTTTTTTAAATATCATGATAAAACTATATTTTACAAAGTATTTAGAAATTTGTATTAGTTTTAATTACGACCCCCACACCCTCCGTCTACCTAAATAAGTTTATTTGTAACCAAGACGCCAAAATAAAGGTCGTCGATTAGAGAATCCAGAAATTGAACTTCGATTTGAGAAATCGAAAAAGGACGTTTTAATTAGAGGCGCTCAGGATTGCCATCGACTTGGAATCTTACTTTATTATGACGTCAGATTGGACTCCGATTTGAGGAACGGATGTCGATTACAGTCTGGACTTCGATCTGAGTCTCGAGCACACATATATTTATAAATACACATTGCTGTAACCTTATTCATGATTTATAAGGTTTCAGAAAAATTTTCAGCAGATCATTTTGATGATGTACCAGTAGCGTAATACGTAGTAGACATTGGATTTCTTTTTTCAATGGAAAATAATCCTGATCAAAGTATTTCCTTTCAGCAATAATCTGACAACTGTTATGGAAAGCTATTATTACATACAATATCAGTTTACTTACATAAAAAGCAGACAGTGACAGATGTACTGGGTATATTGTCCGAGATAAGCGTAAGATAAACTGCATATGATAACAGAACGGTTAACGAAAATCCAACTTTTTCACCGGAATCAACTGGCAGTTTGAACACATATGCTATCAGAATAGCCATCAGAGCTACTGGAAACAAAGTGTTAACAACATGAAACAGAAGACGTCGTTGAAGTCTGATCAAGAAAAACACAGAAGAGAAAGAATTCCCACCTCGAGTTTGCGCTTCAGCTTTAAAACTTTCTGCAGAGAGTAAATTCCATTCTCCATTTTCAGTATAAAAGGTTGTATCGACAGGCTGTACTTTGAAATACAGTTCTATTTCAGCTTGCGTATATGCCCAAGCACTGACTTTCAAATAGCATCCTTGTGTGTCCATAGGATAATATTTGGTATCAGACTCGCAATTAATTTTGTAAACACCAGCTGGGTTCCATATAACTCGACCATCTTGTGCTATCCTCATTGGCACTGAAGTATCGCTGATAACAGACATTCCATCAACCCTACGATAAATGATAAAAAGTCATGCAGTTAAAATAAAATATTGACATTTAAATAAACTTGTACATGTATTTTTGTTTCAAGTAAAGCTGACAATTAGAAACTGCCCCTGAAGATGGATGGACATTAAGAAATAAATTTACAAAATGCAAGAAAATAACATTTCGTGATAACTATAATTATAAGTGGTAGTAAATGAAATCACTTACGCGTTCTCTATAATAATTGCTGGTCTCCAAACATAATCTTCTGTGGCAAATAGAAAATTGATGCTTGTATAATCTTGTGACGTGTCGTTTGTGTTCTCCCATGTTAATCTGGTATCCCACCAATCCTAAGTAAACAAATTGTTTGTAATGTGTTAAAACAGTGTCTGCGAACTAGGACATAGCTCATATTTTTTTGTTATGAGAATCCATTCAAAGGTTTCCATAAAAGAGAAATGGGGAAATTATTAAATGCTTATGCCGGGAAACCATTCTCTCTCTCTCAGATACACAATGACACTGTATTTCGTGCCTCTTCTCTATTGTTGAATACAGCATACTAGTAATGACCTCCAGACGTCTTTGGTCGTACGCATCGTTGGGTTACTGTCTCATTGACGTTTGCCATCATATACTTTTATTCATACTCAATATTCAATGGCTGTGTTCTGCATCCTGCCCAATAATGCATATCTCAATGCACATTTCATTAATCTGTAGAATGGCTAGCATTCTCAGTATTTCGTATAATAATTCAAATAAAAAAATGTATGTTGGAAGCCAATGAAATATCAGGACTAGCATTAATGTTATAGTAAAAGTATAGACTTACCATTGTCAAGTATCCAGATAATGATAAAGTCTGGTCTTTTATATTCTGAAATCAAGGATAAAAAATATAAACAAAATACCGAATTTGAACTTAAATATAAAAATAAGGAGATGTGGTAGATTGCCAATGAGACAACTCTCTACCAAAGTTCAAATGAAGTGGATGTAAGCAATTTTAGGCAACCTTATACCAGAGAAAACCCCATACCATATAGTCGGCTATAAAAGGCCCCGACATGAAAAATGTGAAACAGATAACTTCAAAAAGGGAAAGTCCATTAAACCTGACAAAATCAAACCCTAGACTATATCAACCAAAGGAACGAATGGAAAACTACTGCCAAATTCCTGACTTGGTACAGACATTTGCTTAGGCCCCTGTACAACAATGAAATCATTTGCGCCAAAACTTAATTGCGCCAATGCTGCTTCTGTGCAACTTCATTTTGAAAACTATAGGTTTCATTTGCGTCAATAAAACAATCATACAATTGCGCCAATTTTATCAATTTATTCATTTGTACTTGTATATATATCTACTAAATTATTGACTTCCACCCTCCTTTATATATCTAACCATTTACTAATGTCAGTTCCATTGTTCTTGTATTCTTTTGCCAGACCCAAATTCTGTAATTTCCTCCACCAAGCCTTACCAAGATGGAATCTACAAGACTTAATGACGACATTTGGAAACATGTCTCTTACTGTTTTATGCATTCGTTCTTCAAAATCTAGATGAATGGTGTTATGTTCAAGGTCAGGTTAAACTTCTTGCAATTTCATCAAGTAAGGAAAACATTTTCTTGTAACAAACCTCTGATTTTGACGGTAACTAACAAAATACTGATGGAATATAATTTCCATTCTTAAAGCCATGTATAGTATAGAGTTGTTTGAATTATTTTGGACAACTTTTATAAGTACCAGCAGCAAAAAAAATTCCTCTGAAACGGTATACAGAAATCTCAGATTGACCTAGCATCAAAATAAAATCATCCCGCTAATATAGTTATAGTACATGTTACATGTATAGTATAGGTTAAAAAAATATGCAGGTAAATGTGGCGCAATTTGATTCCATTTATTGGGGCAATTAATAAAAAAAAAAAAAGATCCAGGACAACGTTATTGCACTGACTATACATTATGTCATAGATACCAGTGGCGGATCAAGAACTTTTTATAAGGGGGCCCACTGACTGCAATAAGAGGGGCCCCGCTACAGTCATGCTTCGGTGATTCCCTATATAATCAACCAAATGTTTCCCACAAAAGGGGGGGGCGGGCCAAGAAGTAACTTTTTTTCCCTTTTGGAGATAAAAGAAATTGAATATTCTGTAGAAGGAAGTACAGTTGTATCGGATGAATGTAAAAGAGAGGCGAAAGATACCAAAGGGAATTCAAACTCATAAGTCGAAAATAAACTGACAACGCCATGGCAAACGAGAAGGACAAAAAGAGAAACAACAGTATACAAAACACAACATAGAAAACTAAAGCAGGCTGAGCAACACGAACCCCACCAAAAACTGGGGGTGATATCAGATGGTCCGGAAGGGTAAGCAGATCCTGCTCCACATGTGGCACCCGTCGTGTTGCTCATAAAAGTACAAACATATATATACTTGAATGATATATAAACAAGTCTAAATTGAAAACAACGTTCAAACCTATGATTGCGTTGGATAAAAACCGCAATTTTTATACGTGTGCATGCAAAACAAATGTCTTGTTAGAGGGGTCTAAATACAGCACAAACAACATTTTCCAAAAGACCAAAAAAGTGAAACAGTATATTTTAACAAAACGCATTTGACTAACAGGTCGAACAACAAATGTTCTTAAACCCTGCGGACTGCCATTGGCGATTGCCAAATAAACGGATCACCGATGTAATAAATGGATCTTAATTAAAAATCTAATACTAAACAGAAAACAATAAACTTGCGGAAAAGATGGTATACTGCAAACAAAAGGTGCAAAGGTTTTTGTACACCATATCCGGATTTCGACAATTAATGTTTCTTCAGTGATGTTAGGAATCGAAACGGTATTTGGAAAGCGATACAATTTACCTCAATTTAGGATAGACTCTTGAATTTTGAGGAGTCAAAATAGGATGAACGGATCATATAAACCCGAAGGCAAATATAATACAAGCCCAAACGAAAAAAAAATAAACAAGTCTAAATTGAAAACAACGTTCAAACCTATGATTGCGTTGGATTAAAACCACATTGTTTATACGTGTGCATGAAAAACAAATGTCTTGTTAGAGGGGTCTAAATACAGCACAAACAACATTTTCCAAAAGACCAAAAAAGTGAAACAGTATATTTTAACAAAACGCATTTGACTAACAGGTCGAACAACAAATGTTCTTAAACCCTGCTGACTGCCATTGACGATTGCCAAATAAACGGATCACTGATGTAATAAGATGGATCTTAATTATAAATTTAATACTAAACAGAAAACAATAAACTTGCGGAAAAGATGGTTTACCGCAAACAAAAGGTGCAAAGGTTTTTGTACACCATATCCGGATTTCGACAATTAATGTTTCTTCAGTGATGTTAAGAATCGAAACGGTATTTGGAAAGCCATACAATTTACCTCAATTTAGGATACATGTAGACTCTTGAATTTTGAGGAGTCAAAATAGGATGAACGGATCATATAAACCCGAAGGCAAATATAATTCAAGCCCAAACGAAAAAATATAAACAGTCAAGTCTAAATTGAAAACAACGTTCAAACCTATGATTGCGTTGGATAAAAACCGCAATTTTTATACGTGTGCATGTAAAACAAATGTCTTGTTAGAGGGGTCTAAATACAGCACAAACAACATTTTCCAAAAGACCAAAAAAGTGAAACAATATATTTTAACCAAACGCATTTGACTAACAGGTCGAACAACAAATGTTCTTATATATATATATAACATTCAAGTGTATATGTAAAATTTGATAAAAGAACAGAGTTCTAATGTCCCGCGTTAAACATATCATATCTACCCAAAGGCAATACCTAAAAAAATATTTGTTATTTCGTTCTTTAAATTTTTTTACAAATATCTTAGAGAAATGAAGGTTTGAGAGCAAATGCAATGCAATTTCCAATGTAATTAATATTCCAAAGGGCATAACCATACACAAGAATCAGGGTCAGCTCAGCGGGGTAACGTTATCAGTGAATAACAAGGGAGCACTTCTGGACTGATAAAATTTAACATTGTTGTATATGGAAAAAACATGACAGTTGCTTTAAAATGATTTGTCAACATTTTATTTCTACAATCATAAACTATTGCCATGGCAGGTGAAAAAGTTATTAGATTTATCTTTATTTTGATGTAAAAAAAAATATTTTATTTTATTTAAAAGTGGTGTCCCTAATGATTTGAAAATTTCCCATGAAAAGATACGTTTTTCCTACATAACTTAACCAAATTCAATGATGACGAGTGGTAGTAAAAAATTCCTATAAAATTCATTATTGCAGTGACATTATTTCGCCATGTCCCATGTTATTTTTGTATAATTCTTCTTTCTGAAGGTGCAAAAAAAAATATTTTAAGTTTGCATTTGATGGTGTCCCTGGTAGTTTGAATATGGTGATTATTTCGTTATCAAACGTCAGTTCATGTATTATATACGTATATTGTAAAGAACTGAAACCGATATCTATACGTTGGGAAAGACGGAAAATGTTTGATATAAGATAGCGTCGAAACTTAAAAAAAAAATAATAATAATATTAATCATTTTTCAATTATTGTTTAAAATAAATTCATGATGACGAAAATGTTAAATTGAATTTTAGTCCCGATTAAAAATTGTTGAAATTTTAAACATTATCCGGATAATTTAGATATATAGGTAGAACTTAAACACATTTTTTATGATTAGAAAATTGCTAATGAATTACAAAGAGCTTATTTGCAGTACACACCTAATGACAAAGGAAACACTGTGAATTTGAAATGCTGTACTAAAAGTTGGATGATGAATTAATTAACTTGAAATGCAAAGCATTTGTGTATTGCTATTCAAGTTTTGTAGGGTTCGTGAAAAGTTACATAAATGATTTAATTGTTTTTCTTTCTCGTAAACACTTATTATGTATAATACATATTTTATTTATTGGAAGGAAAAAGCTATGTACAAGTATCGTTTATTGTGTTCTTATCTAACCATATTAAGGTATGAATTTAAACAATAACCACCCGCTGTTTTATCATCTGCCAGCTATTCAATTAATGAAAGATGTAGACCGACATTCATGCTGATTTTGAATATCATTTGACAGTTCTAAAAGTTTAATGTACACTTAACGTATATAACTCCGTCAACTTCTGTACTCGGGGATGTTTATACATGAACATATATAGCCCCGTCTAGCATGTCAAGTGTGCACGAGAGATTTAACTAAAATTTTGAATGTTGAAATATTGGAATGATTCGTTCATTGTTGAAGACCCTACATCAACTGTCAAGATGTAGAACAGGAATAAAAGCCCTGTTCATTGATACTTTTCTATGTTTTCTATGTATTGTGTGCGATTTTGTCTCATGTACATTTACTCCATATCCTTTTATTTTCTATCCAATATGTTAATTGTGCATCTAGAACATTCAAATGTCCGATGATATAAAAAAAATACTTATTCAACAGTTAAATTGTAATAATAAATCCAAAAACAGTTGGGCACTCTCTTTGACATATCATTTGATATGTGCAACAGGTTTTCTGATATTTCAAAAATAATATTACCTTGCCTTTCAATATCAGTGTAATCATTTCTATCAGACCATACTTTTTCTATGAATGAAGGTAGATGTGGGGTATAAGTAAATGCAGAAGTCATGAACTTCTGGTAAATGAGATAGCAACCCAACCATGCACATAAATAACTTAGACATCTAGAGAGCAAAATATAGCCTTCTCCAAAAGACAGGCTCTTACAGGGCAACTTAAATACTCAACAATAGACATGCCTTTATAAAAATGTCAGGATCTAAATCGCCCAGAGTCTATACGTTCAATGTGAATTTAAAAAAAAAACTATGTGGTGTTTGCTTACATCCTCGTTTTTCAGTCTCTGGTGGATTGTTTTCTGATATTGACAATAATACCACATCTTCTTATTTTTCTTAAGGTCTGTTATACACACAAACACTCTCCAAATAAAGAAAACAAATAAGATATGACATACGACAACTACTTACGAGGTCCCCAAATTTTGACAGGTCCTAGTACATGTATATGGAAATGTGTTCGAGTTAAACTTACTTTTGTAGGTCTCAACCCTCCATCTTTTGAATCTCAGTATAGATTAACAGAACGTGCATAAAAGAAAATACAAAACAGACAAGTTCTAGAAAAGAACTTAACTCTGGTTTGTTTAAGTTTATGCCACACATCTTATTTTTGGTACGTAAATTTGCTATCCTATGCCTTTTTTTCACAGTTAATCGTCTAAGTTCCAATTCGCCTCCTATTGGTGTCTATATAAAAATGATCGTCCCACATGAGTGCATATTAAATATTTTTGAAAATCTATTTTGCCTTTCTGCTTACCGGGTTATGTGATTACAAAATTATTTTGGATAGACATGTTTTGTTTATAGATATAAGAAGATGTGGTATGAGTGCCAATGAGACAAATTTCCATCCAAGTCAAAATTTATAAAAGTAAACCATTATAGGTTACAGTACGGTCTTCAACACGGAGCCTTGGCTCACACCGAACAGTAAGCTATAAAGGGCCGTCTAAAATACAATGGCTGTATAAGAAGTTGTATATGGCAGACCTATAATGCTTTTTCATGAACTTATTTAGCGATTTTGCAGGTTAATAAATATGAAAACATTTGTTATCTTCATCAATATGAATTGCTTTTTAAAGTTGCCTGAGGAAGACGGAAAACGATCCCGGATACACATGTGAAGATGAAGCTCTATATAGTTTATTGAAAAATTTAGATTCACACCGCACATGTTTTCGAAATTTATGACTGAGTTTCATATGAAATTGTATTGTGTCTGGTTTTTGAATATTACTCCCATCTTTTTTTTTCAATATGGGTTTATGTTAAGAATAAACATCATTATCTAACTGTTGATAACATCCTCATATTTTGTTCTTTCAATTGACGGAAAGTTTTCATCATACCACAACTTTTTATTTATAAGCCAATATATCCATTTGTTGAATTAAGATGATACATTTCAAATGTAGGACACAAAAGCCCCGGACACGAAGATGGTACCAGAAAAAAGTCAGGTTAGAGATAGTTTGTCTCTGATTTGCAATGTGAAAAACTTATCTCATAGTAATAGTTTGTGTTTTCTTGGACATTAATAATTATAAGTATATACAACTTTGTAAACAAAATTAATTCACGGTAAAAGAATTCATAATGATCTAGTGATTATTTAGAAAATAGGCTGCGAAAATTTGTTATTACTTGACTGGCTTTATGGTACCAAGAAATATATCCTTTGCATGAATAAAATTTAATAAGTCTTCATTTATCAATTCTAACGAACAATATCTCAAGCTGTATAATGAATTTATGTGATAAAAAGAAAGTACTTCAATAATTTAAGTTTCTCTAATACATTCAAACGATAGTAAACAGTTTTACTATTTAATTGTGAATTTTTGTCCTATCAATTATGTGACGGTCAGGCGTGGGACTTTGTGCCATTTACTTGCAACTCAGGACTGAAAAATTACCTTTACTTATGACCTCATAATTACCATTGTAAAGTCAATCGTTTACGGTTTCAGAGGCATATAAAACAGATACATGTAGTAAATACCTTTTTTTCAGATTTTTTTTTTACATAATCAAGAAGGACAAAGAAGATTCTTTTGAAAGAAAGATTTGTAATTATGCCAAATGAAAATTAAACTATGAACTTTTTTGACATAGTTAGTCGTGAATTCTTTCTACTACAGCCCAAGTAATTGCATATTTAAATATAATTTTTCTTTCTCTTTAAAACCAAGTGTCTTGCTGATAGCAAGGATTTAAAACTATACAAATCCTTGCTGATAGTTAACATGTTAAAGGATTCCCACTGATTACAATCAATTAGCACATATATGATCATATATAGACCATCGCGACACATATCGAGAGTTGTCTTATCTTGCGAACTGGACACCAGATGAGTCAAGGAGATTAGAAACCCAGTTCAAAAGAATTATTTCTTAATTTGAGTTATCTCCCTCAAAAGTGTCCACAATTCTTGTACATGTCTTTTAAAAATATTTGACTTGTCCGAGACATTGCTGATATAAACCTTTGATATAAATTTGATAAAAACCTGACAAGAATTGTACACATTAGAGCGCTAACAATGCAATTGTCCATATAATTAATATTTCCAAGGGGCATAACTCTTTTGAAAATAGTTGATCAGCACTGATTTTCGAACTTGTCCGTGCCATTGCTGAAATGAACCTATGTTAATAGTTTTATTAAAATCTGGCAAAAATTAAACACGTAAGAGCTAACAAGACCGGACGGAAAGACGGACGGACGGACGGACGTCCAGAATTTCTTTGTCCCCCACCACGCGTCGCGTGGGAGACAAACACATCGAATAATAAGATATCGATGCACAATGAAGTCACGACGTCACGCTTTTATTTGTCTCTTCTGCGTTTTTGTTTATGCTATGTGGAAGATTCAACTATGTATACTCAACAAATGAATTCAATGTTCTCTTTTCAATAAAACTGAAATTTCAGTAGCAATAACATCTCATAATTTAAAGAAAATTCGTCCAGGATTTCCAGACCTAAAATGTTAAGTTAAAATAGCTGAAGTTTTTGGCGAAAGTTATGTGTATTCTGTACATTTGTACTTCTAATTTCCTATATTGTGTGGCCATATCTCAGATAGTATAAGCATTGCAAATGTAATGTTTTCGATATTCAAATGCAGAGTCGATCTTCGTGCTCTAGTTGCATGCAAAGTTTCATAAAAAGACCTTGAGACCATACATTTACTAAACAATCGTCGTGTGAATCTTATAATGATGTATTTCCCAATTGGTAATAGTGGTATAAATTTTAATTAAAGTTTGGAAGCTCATTGACGATATCATAAATGTTTGACTAAGACATAAAAAGTTACAAAGGAATCGAATTTACTCACATAAATAGTAACTCTTTGTTCGATTGTTTTTTAATAGACAAGCAACTAAGATAAATAAAACATCCCCTTTTTGGGGAGATTTCACTACAAACAATGATGTTTTATAAATTTATCCCGACATTTCCATTGGAGATATACCATAGATTTTTTAACTTTTTAATATCCCTTATTCTGTACTGCTGTATTTGCTAAGAATTGCTCATAGATTGAGTTCAAACCATGCAAACCATTTGATAATAGTACTACTAAGATAATTTTGATGATTATTTAACATAAAAAATACACAAGAAATAGTGGAGATACAACACTATAAAAATATTTTTCTCTGAACTAACTAGATGAATACGCCATTATAATCCAATGGGAGTGTGGATATAGAACAGTGTAGATCTGACAGAAACTCTAAGAGTGTAGATATCTCGTATTATAGTTGTAAAGGGAGATAGACCATTGCACTTGGATCTCAAATATATAACTATCTCCATTTTTATCAAACGGGGACACATAACACTATAAGATTCACACGACGACCTGTTACTTAAACACTACCTATACAGTTAAAAATGACATACCAAGTCGTTAACAGTTAAAAGGTGGAATCTTATGCCAACTCGAACTTTTTGGGTTGGTCTTTGTTGCGCTGTGTAGCTCGTAAACAACTCGGTCCTCAGACTCTCTTCCAGTTCTATACTATAACTCGGTGGCGAAGCATTCGTAGTCTGCACAACACCTGTAATTAAATTAATTATATCTATTATGGGTTTCGTTTTTTCAGATAATGGGTGGTAACTTTTATGTTGAATGGTAAATTTTCAACGCGTGATTCAATATGAAAGAACTCCCTAGGGTGACTGGGGAAATGAATTATGGTCACTCTTCGTCTTCTTCCGACCAGCCGTAAAACCCTTGCCATATTGGGACGCCCGTTTGGCTATGCAGGATGTACAAGTACGCAGCCACATCCGGTCAGAATGGGGACGTTAAATCCAATGCCTTAGGTAGAGGGAGTGTCACGCTCTCTGCACGTTAAGAACCCTTGCAACAACACTTTGAGGGGTCCATACGTGGCCTGTTACAAGGCAATTAGTGTTTTATCAACATTTTATTTTTTCAATTGTTTAATTTTATTTTCATTTTTACATGTACTCTGGACTTTGTCGTAAATTAAAACATACGTGTTGTACAAGGATTGTCATCCTTATGGACAAAGGACTGGATTTCATTAACTCTATTCATTTAATAACTTATCATCATTAATGACATATTGAACAATAATTTACAAGTATATGTTATAATCTGCAGTAGACACTAATTATGTTTTGAATCTATTATTATTTCAATATGGCATCTATAAATTTTCATAATCCTTTGCTTGTGCTTACAATTCTTGTTATTGTTATCATGTTCCATGCCATTTAGTTTTGAGGCTGTTGTTCGGTCTTGTCGGACAACTAAATAAAAGTTTAAGAAGCGAAATATTCCTTCTTGATTCCATATAGGTGGAACGCCATCTTATCCGGCTATATCCCTTCATATTCCAGTGGCAGACGCAATTTCCCCGACCTTCATCCCGGATGTCCTCTATTACTTGACCTACCTAATGTATTTATTGTTAATTTTTTCTCGTCCTGAACATGCATGAAATATTTGCCACTGGACGTTAAGCAACCATCAACCAATTAATCAATACGAAATTCTTTAAATTATACAGTTTCTCTATTAGATGATATTTTTTAAGACACTATAATCCATCGGGATAATCAACTTCGAGAATTTTGAACAAAAGATAGAAACACACAGACATCGAGTTTTCCTTATTAAAATATTCAAACGTGGCTCTTCTTGTTCAATTCAAGAATGGTTTCAGAGACAATTCCTTGTCAATCTTTCGTCAGAAAGGTTGGAATCCTGCCTCTTGAATATAATGCACATTTGTCAATTACGAAAACAGCGCTATCTTTGTCTACTGTTTTTTTTCCATTAACTGTGCAGCTTCTTTTTCATTGGGTGATTAATTGTCGAAGGTAGCAAAACTATTGAAGACATTGGATTACGTTGGATTTTTATTTTTCAGTGAACCACAAATATCACCAACATTTGAGTGTGGGGCACCATAATTTATTATCAATAAGTTACAATAACTTACTTTAATTAGCTTTGATCATTCTTTGATACTGTACGGTTTATTATTGTTTTGCTTGTTTTTGAGTCTTTTTTTATCTTTTCTATCGTTATTGTAGAGCTATGTACAGAGTCTGTGCAGAATTTAATTGTATATCTTTTTTGTAATTTTTGTAATTTTGTTATTCCACTGATCGAGATTAAATGAGGCAGGATTAATTTGAAGGAGCAAGGCATATAATTTGGAAAGTCTCGCTTCTACAGGAAGCTAGCTAAAGAAGCAACATTTGTTGGTTGGATACTATCAATCAAGAAAAAAAATAATAATCAGAAACAATATTCATAAGAGGTATCAAGAAGTCATCATACATTAGATTAACTGAGTATATCACGTATATATCACATGCTGTCGAAAGACGCAAGAAAGAAAAAAATATCCCGAGTTAAAATATATCATGGTTCTGTGTATTAGTCCGATTAACGACATTACATTATATAAATGCTAGGGTGAAAACTAGATATTCTATTTTTTTATGAGAAACATCGTAATAAATACATGTATGTGAAATTAAAGTTATGACGAAAGTTTACAATTCTAACAATCATGGTGAAATAAATATAAAAATAAGGAGATGTATTATGCTTGCCAATGAGATAACTATCTACCAGTGTTCAAATGGAGTGGATGTAAGCAATTGTAGACAATCGTACGGCCTTCAACAATGAGAAAAACCCATACCGTATAGTCAGCTATAAAAATCGAATACGACTGACTCCCTTTTTTTTTATCTTCCTAGAATCAAATTGAAAACTCAGAATAAAAAGATAAAAAAATATAATAAAATATCATCATATGGAAAAAAATGAGGTAAAGCATGTATGACAGAACGGTATATACAACTATAGATGAAAGAAAGAAGATAAACATTTTAACTGGATGCATTATTTTCACTAGATCTAAGTGGTATCATTTTCCCCCAAACTATAAATAAAAAATATAATTGAACTCACCAAGAAGTATAAATGTGATAAAAGTATGTATATCCATTTCCAGTATCAGTTTAATTCCGTCTTATGAAGTCAATTTGAAAAATATTATTGAAAAAGTTACTGTAGATATGTTGATATAAGTATACGTATCACTGATTTTAATGCCAAGATAAACTTGTTCATTTGTTTTCTATTTGATAGAAGGATTTCATTACTATTAAAACAACAATTTGTTATGGACAAAGGACTGGATTTCATTAACTCTATTCATTTAATTACTTATCCTTAATGACATATTGAACATTAGCACATACTTACAACTTCTCGTCCAATCAAATTGCTTATATTTGCCTTCTAATTTTCATAGTACATACTTTTCCTGTGTACTAAGTAACTACGCATGAATGACCACAAGGGTAAGATTTCATTGTATCGTAATCAAGATATTTAAAACAAAAATTGCCACTGGCTATTTTGAAATAAAATGCTGTGTTCCAAATTAAATTAAATAGTTTTCACGTTGATTTTTAAATATCCTACTATTAAAATCTTTGGATCTAAAAATTGTTTTTGACAATTGCAAATTTTATCATTTAAATAAAGGGTAATACATATGGTTCTTTATACCTTGATTACAGTACAACGATATCTTAAAATTATGATAATATATCATCCATGCAATTACTTTGTACACAGAAAAGTGTGTACTATGAAACCTTGTGCAGGAAAATTAAAGCAACTTGGTGATAAACTTTCTTAAGGAAGGTGATCTATTTCGTCATGAATTGATTGATTTATTGATTATTGGTTGCTTAATGTCCAGTGGCAAATATTTCATGCATGTTCAGGACGATGTCATGAATTGAAAAACTGTGATTATGTCCGAAGATGATGTGCCACCTATATATATATATATATAAACATATTCTGATAAATCTTTTAGTTTTTACTTTGAAATAATAAAAAAAAAAAACAACACAAAACACAAAACCTATAATCTCTGATCTATTGGTAGTTGCTTTTTAATGCCTGTCTGCTAGACTATATCTATGGGGACAAACTATCGCTATGTTTCAAATTTATTATAGCTTTAGTTTTACTGTGAAATTAAAAAATGTTTTCAAAACATGTAAAGCTTCCACTGCAATTTAATTATTGCCTGCTTTTGATCAATTTATTTTGTCATCTTACCATGTAAGAAGAACATGTATAGTAAAACACCGCTTTATATCAGTATACATACTTACACCAGCAGCTACCATCTTTTCATTCTGGAGTGAAGGGCCTTTTGAAATCACATATTTTACAATAATACTAGTGAGTAGATTTACAAAACTTCGTTAATGAGCTCCTTTTTACAAACACCTGTGATACAAGTAGTCAGCCAAAATAAACTATCAATAGACCAATTAAAAGATTACTCGAGTTGTTAATATGTGCTAAATTGGATAGTCTATGGAAAGATAGATACTATGAAATTAAGAGCTCGGGGCAAGCCCCTCGCTCTAAATTTCATAGTATATACCTTTCCATAGACTAACCTAGACATAATTTACAAGTATCTGTTATAACCTGCAGTAAACACTAATTATGTTTTGAATCTATTATTATTTCAATATAACATCTATGAATTTTCATAATCCTTTAATTGCTTGTGCTTACAGAATAAGAATAAAGAATAAAATTGTTTATTATAGTGTCACATATTGATTGAGACAAGGTATTCACATAATATTGAAATACACACAAACAACAATCAATATCCAGCCAAAAAATGACTTATGAGACACTGATCCTAAAAACCAAAATATATACAAAAATATACTATTTGAACTTATATATAATCTCATAAAAGTTATACTCAAAATGGGACAGGTCACTTAAAATATAAAAATTTTTGGATTAAAAAAGATATATATTAACTATGAAATATGATATAGTATAAAATGATCACATTTGGGTAAAAATCTTATAAATAAAAGCATTAAAAATTGATTATAGGAAAATATTACTGTAAAAATAATTTTCTACGCAAATAAAATTTATATAAACATTTGCAAAAATAATACTGGATATTGGTACAATTCATAATTTCAATAAATTTTCTGTTTGTATTAAAATCTTGAAAGTCTTCAATAAGTTTTGAGCATTCATTAAAAAGATTGTATCGAAGATCGTCATATAATGCGCATTCCATTAGAAAGTGTTTTTCTGTTTGAACGCTGTTAGTCTCACACAACACACATATTCTGTGTGCAATGGGTGTAGGCGGCCTGGAGTATCTTCCCGTCTAACACGCAAGAGGAAGTGAACCGGAGCGAAACAGAGCCATTGTACGTCGCTCACTTTTGAAAATGTTCAGACGGACGTAGTGTTCGGTTTTGACACATTGTTTGTATTGCCTATAAGTTCTTAATTTGTTTCTGTTCTGTGAGTTACGTCGATCATTAAAAACTTCCCCGTGCCATTCCGTGTTATCTAATACAGTTAATTGATCGTTAATTGTACGCATAACAGTTTTTGTAGATACAGATAAGTTATACATAAGATCTCTCACATTTAGCAAATCAACAGTTTTGTTTTTATGTTACATAACATTTAGTTTTGAGGCTGTTGTTCGGTCTTGTCGGACAGCTAAGTAAAAGTCTAAGAAGCGAAATATTCTTTCTTGATTCCATATAGGTGGAACGCCATCTTATCCGGCTATATCCCTTCATTTTCTAGTGGCAGACCAAATTTCCCCGACCTTAATCCCGGATGTCCTCTATTACAGGACCTACCTATTGTATTTATTGTTAATTTGTTCTCGTCCTGAACATGCATGAAATATTTGCCACTGGACGTTAAGCAACCATCAACCAATCAATCAATATGAAATTCTTTAACTGAATTATACAGTTTCTCTATTATATGATCTTTTTTAAGAGACTATAATCCATCGGGATAATTAACTTCGAGAATTTTGAACAAAAGATAGAAACACAGACATCGAGTTTTCCTTATTGAAATATTCAAACGTGGCTCTTCTGGTTCAATTCAAGAATGAGTTCAGAGACAATTCCTCGTCAATCTTTCGTCAGAAAGGTTAGAATCCTGCCTCTTGAATATAATGCACATTTGTCAATTACGAAAACAACGCTGTCTTTGTCTACTGTTTTTGTTCCATTAACTGTGCAGCTTCTTTTTCATTTGGGTGATTAATTGTCGAAGGTAGCAAAACTATTGAAGACATTGGATTACGTTGGATTTTTATTTTTCAGTGAACCACAAATATCACCAACATTTGAGTGTGGGGCACAATAATTTATTATCAATAAGTTACAATAACTTACTTTAATTAGCTTTGATCATTCTTTGATACTGTACGGTTTATTATTGTTTTGCTTGTTTTTGAGTCTTTTTTTTATCTTTTCTATCGTTATTGTAGAGCTATGTACAGAGTATGTGCAGAATTTAATTGTATATCTTTTTTGTAGTTTTTGTAATTTTGTTATTCCACTGATCGAGATTAAATGAAGGAGGATTAATTTGAAGGAGCAAGGCATATAATTTGGAAAGTCTCGCTTCTACAGGAAGCTAGCTAAAGAAGCAACATTTGTTGGTTGGATACTATCAATCAAGAAAAAAAATAACCAGAAACAATATTCATAAGAGGTATCAAGAAGTCATCATACATTAGATTAACTGAGTATATCACGTATATATCACATGCTGTCGAAAGACGCAAGAAGAAAAAATATCCCGAGTTAAAATATATCATGGTTCTGTGTATTAGTTGGATTAACGACATTACATTATATAAATGCTAGGGTGAAAACTAGATATTCTATTTTTTTATGAGAAACATCGTAATAAATACATGTATGTGAAATTAAAGTTATGACGAAAGTTCACAATTCTAACAATCATGGAGCAATAAATATAAAAATAAGGAGATGTGTTATGCTTGCCAATGAGATAACTATCTACCAGTGTTCACATGGAGTGGATGTAAGCAATTATAGACAATCGTACGGCCTTCAACAATGAGATAAATCCATACCGTATAGTCAGCTATAAAAATCGAATACGACTGACTCCCTTTTTTATCTTCCTAGAATCAAATTGAAAACTCAGAATAAAAAGATGAAAAAAATAATAAAATATCATCATATGGGAAAAAAAGAGGTAATGACAGAACGGTATATACAACTATAAATGAAAGAAAGAAGATAAACATTTTAACTGGATGCATTATTTTCACTAGATCTAAGTGGTATCATTTCCCCCCAAACTATAAATAAAAAATACAATTGTACTCACCAAGAAGTATAAATGTGATAAAAGTATGTATATCCATTACTAGTATCAGTTTAATTCCGTCTTATGAAGTCAATTTAAAAAAATATTATTGAAAAATTTACTGTAGATATATAAGTCTACGTTTCACTGATTTTTATGCAAAGATAAACTTTCTAGTTCATTTGTTTTCTATTTGATAGAAGGATTTCATTACAATTAAAACAACAATTTGTATACATTTTGAGTTGACAGGTAAACAAAAAATCAGTTTGAATCACACCTCACACACCTGTTCGAACTTTCAAAAATGTCTTGATACTGATTACAGCATATTGATAAAATTTTGGAGGCCCCTTTTTGGGAATCAATAAATAAAAATATTTTCATTCGTAACTTTTTTTGTATCTGAGTAACGTCTACATTTAACATTTTTATTGAAATAATTAGAATATCAAATCTATAGTTGTGTCACAGTATATTAAATCGTTTTGGCAGCATGCAATTATCAGTGTATGTAATGTGCGATTCCTTATATGTCATTTTTACTGTATCCGTGATGAATTTCTGATGTAGATGATAAATAAACAGACGACAAATTCACGATTTTTGAATAAAATAAGAAATAATATATAATATGTACTGTTTTTATAAATTCATGATATAGGTACGAGATGCGGACGTGTTTTCATCGCGCCTACAGCCATTCAGGTGCAAAATTTTTACACAACTGAAATAGATAAATATTAAGAATAGTTCACGAACAGAGCGTGCAAGAGATTTAAAAGTAGCAGTTA